TTGAGGAAAAGGTGGTGGAGGTGCGGAAGCAGATTTTAATTATGATTTTTCTTTGGAATTTTCAGCGGATTTTTCAACCATAATTTCTGTTTCAATAATTTTTTCAATTTCTATTTCATCAAATTAAATTGAAATCTCAAAATTTAAAGCTTTACTAGTTACCATTTTACTTACCTCTTTTCCATTGCAAAGAGTAATTACCATACAATACTCCTTACCTTCTCTTCTTGGGTTGGGTTTAGTATCACTTAGTAAGGTAACCTGAGGTCTAGTATTTAAAGCACTGGCAAGTTAGCTCACTTGTGTCTCAAGATTTCTAATTGAAGCTACTTGATTTTGAATACAGGCATTAGTCCTTATCATAAATGCATCAGTCTTTGTCATGAATTGCATGAACATACCTTCCATTGAAGGCTTTTTCTCTGGCATAAGGCCTCTAGATGGAAATCCAAGAGGGAAGTTTGACTTAACCACTGATGAAGACCCTTGCTTGTTATTCCATGAAAAATTAAAATGAGTCCTCCAACTAGGATTATAAATGTTGGAATAGGGATTGTTTTATTGCCTATTTCCAACTAATTGACAAGACTCAGAATAGGTAGAAAAATTGTCATTGGAATGTCTTTCCCCATAAAATTCACATGTCATAAAGGATTTTTGAACAACATTAACACTCAATTTATCTATTTTCATTGCGAGAAAGTCCAATTGTGTAGAGATAGTGTTTATCACATCTAATTCATGAATTCCAGTAATTTTTTTGGTACCTAATCTTTCAGATGGCTATTGATAATTATTAGAAGCTATCTCTTTAAGCAAATCATAAGCCTCATCAATGGATTTACTTATGAGTGGACCTCCAGTAGTAGCATCAATGGTAGTTCTAAAAGGTCCTAACAAACCATTATAAAAAGTCTAAACTTGCAACCACTTAGGTAATCCATGGTGAAGACACCTTTTTATCAAATCCTTATATCTCTCCCAAGCCTCATATAGTGATTCACAATCAAATTACATGAAAAAAGTGATATCATTTCACTTTTTTGTTGACTTAACAGGTGGGAAAAATTTTACTAAGAAATTTTAGCCAAATCATCCCAAGTATTAATGGAACCAGCAGGAAGTGAATTTAACCAAATCTTTACTTTATCTCTCAATGAAAAAGGGAAAAGCCTCTATCTTATGGCATCATCTGTAATACCATTAGCCTGGAATGTATCGTATATTTCCAAGAAATTTACAATATGAGTATTCGAATCATTATTAAGCAAACCCAAGTTGAATAGCAGTCTGAATCATCTACATGATTGATGGCTTAATTTCAAAGTTGTTGGCTTGAATAAGAGGTCTTCATATAGTAGAGTGGAGATTTTATACTCGTGGGATAGCATAATCCCTCAAAGGATTGGTTTCTTCCTCTTGTATATCAGCCATTGTTTTAGTTAGAGCAAAAGCCTTTTTATTATTCTTCCGAAGTCTTCGAAAAGGTTTTCGATTTCTGGATCAAAAGGAACAATTTCCAAATTTCAGGCTCTTCGCATACAGTGACCATAGGTACCCAAATTTAAAGAAAAGAAAGGTCTAGATTGAAATTAAGAATGCTTGGTATTAATATTAACAAGAAAGAACTAAAAATCAATTCGTCGGCAACGGCGTAAAAAACTTTTTTCAATTTTCTACTTACACAAGTGCACTATCGTAAAGATAATATAGAGATGAGTAGAGTGTCAATCCCATAGAGAATTGAATTAATCCATATTGTTAACTGCTAAAATTAACACACCATAATTTTATCTAAATAATTAAAAAAAATTAAAACTAATAACTAAAACTTAATATATCAGCAAATTTACTTCTAGTAATTACAGGACCTAAGGTTCTGATATCCTTCAATACTTCATCTGAATATTGTCTCTCTCTCTTAACTCAGTTTAATGGATTATGTTGCTAACCTAGAGTCCTAAATTATTTGCAAGTATCTATCGAGTTTCTCATAAAATACATCTCCCAATTAATTTACTATATGTCTATGCAAATTATATTGAAGAAAGATTCATTAAGTTTGTGCTTTAATTTTGGCTACGTATGGCTTATAAGTAGATGTCTACCCTATATGCAAATCAAACCACCTAATCAACTAAGTGCATTTGATCATACGTTATTCTATTCAAGGTCTACCTAAATCCTCTTTGTCAAGGCTTAACCTAGGTTTCCAATTCAATCAAATTGGTGGCCAGTCAACTAGAAGTATTAAGAACATAATAAAATAAATAACTTAAATCCATCAAACATAAGTAAAAGAGAGATAAATAATTCAAACTACATATTGAGTTCAATCATAATCTTAGATTAATGAATTAGTTTCCCATCAAGTCACACATTATCATTAAATAAAATTTAAACATTAAAACTAAGAGAAGAAGAGGGCAACAAAAAGATAGAAAAAACCAAGGATTGTGTTCTTGATCTCCAAATCTCCTTGAATCCTTCAAGTTCCTCTTAATGTCAATGACTTTGTAGCTTGACTCTCAATTGTCAATATAGCATTTTGTTTTTTTTCCTTTTTTTCTCCTTTTTTTAAAAGTCCTCTGAAAGGTTATTTTTATAGGCTTTAAAGTTAGGCCAAGTTGGGTGAAGAAAGAAGTCAATTTCAGCTAGGATTCCTCATTAGACTATGAGAGTCACAACCTTGCCCAATTAATTAACAGAAATCATAATTGCTCTAGAACTGCTATAGTGTGTCAAGTTCGTTAAGATTTTTGACTACTTTCCAGGCCAAACTGGGTGAAGTAGTAAACATGAATGTTGTATATTTTTCTCTTATCTTTCCAATGGTCTAAGAATAATCTCATTTTGATCACTGTAGAGAGAGTTATTTCTTAAATACCAAAACATGTGAAGTAAAAGTCTACACCTCGAAATTGCTTTCCTTTTTTCATTAAAATTCTTCTTTCATCAAATACCTACAAAAGCACAAATAAGTTAGTAACAACCTATCTTAACTACATTAACACCAAATTAAGTATAAAATTAAGTAAAATTAGATTGACTCACCTAAATTAATTATTTTAAAATAATTAAATAAAATTTACTAATTTTTATATATTACTACAAGAACTAAGCTAAATCACTATCAAAATTAAGCCCAAATAACTCTATATCATAGGGTTATCACTTATGCACAACTAGAACACTCATTGATGTTGAAAAGGGAGAACTTACCTTACGAGTGCAAGATCGAAAGGTAACATTTAATATCTTTCGTGCTTAAAAATTCACTTATGTTCATGATGAGTGTTTTGTAGTAAGTGCGGTAGATAAAGTCATGAGTGAATTTTTCATAAAAGAGCATCCTAAAGATCCTCTTAAAGTATCATTGATTTCTAAAGCTAAGCCCATTAATGATGAAGTTGTAGACAGTGTCTATGCATTGAATGCTCTTTCTCTAGTATTGGGAGTTAGGTTTGAATTGTTAGATTTAACTTCCCCTTCATCCTAACCAGTGAAACCTTGAATTGTGGTCCCTTTGAAGTTAGAACTCAATCCACTACTAAAACACTTGAGGTATGCATACCTTGGAAACTCATCCACTTTTCTAGTTATTGTTGTATCTGATATTACCAACTAGTAGGAAGAAAAGTTACTGAGAGTTTTGAGAGAGCACAAAAAGGCATTGGGGTAATCCATAGCAGATATAAAGGGGAAAAGCATTGTCATGGATGAAGGTTGTTACCCTAAGACTGTAACACCTTGTACTCTCATATAAAAGCCAATAAGACCTTATCAATAAGACGAAGTGTCAATTGACATAAATTTAAGTGCCAAAGAGTGATGACGGGTGAAAAGAATATTTTGAAATAAAATAATATTAAAATATTAATATTTTATCTATTGTTGAAATTAGTCATGAAAGAGGACTATATGACTAGTCTAATGTGGCAGAAGAAGTAAGATAGAATTTTGAAGAAAAACAATGTTAGTGGGGCTCACGTGTCTTTATTAAATAAAGCTTAAATGGGTAAGTATATATTTAAATATTATGATGACACTTTGGTGAGGTGTAAATTTTATATTTTATTTGTACACATGTAAAGGAAGGAAAATAGAAGGAAATTGAAATTAAAGAAATGTAGGAAGGACTAAATTGTAAAGGATGAAAAGTTTGGAGGGTCAAATGATAAATAAGAAAAAGTTTGAGGACTTATATGCAATTTCAATATGTGAAGTTAAATGGATATTAACTAACCAAGGAAAGTTAGATATGTGAAATAATGAGATGTGCATGTGAATTCACTATTACGTGCAAATTATAGTAGGCAAAAAGGAAAAAGTTAGTGGGGAACATGTGGGATGCCCATCGTGTGAAGTAAAAGGAAGAATAATACTAAATCTATTTGCATATAGTGAGATTGGCGCATTAGGTGGCCAATTGAGGAAAAAAAATGTGAGTTGCATGTGATTCGAATAGATTAATGAATGACTAAATAAAATATAAGGTAAAGGTGATGCATGAAATAGGATTGGAGGAATAAGGTGGTGTATGAAATAAATAATAAAAGAAGAAAAGATAGGATAGTGAAGGTGGCGGATAGAGAAGTAAGGTGAGGATAGATAATAGATTAATGAGCAAGGGAGAAAATTAGTGCATGAAATTTGAGTGGGGGATGAAATGGTCTAGTGCGAAGTAAGGGATAAATAAAGAGATTTGAGTTGATGGAGGAACTTGGGAGAATCCACCATACCAAAGAAAAAACAAACAAAGTGAGTTTGCCTTAAGAAAAGCTACACCTTTGAGAGGAAAAAAATAGAATCGGCATTGAGAGAAAAAGAGGGAAGAAAGGAGAAAGAAGAAAAGATAAAGGAGAAAGAAGAAAAAGGCTTGGTGGAGGCTCGGGTTTGGAGAAGAATGGAGAAAATCGAGAGGTTTTCTCTTACATGCCATTGTTGAAGCTTGAAAGAGAAAGTGGAGGTTCGGCTTGGAGATTTTAAGGTATGAAAAGTAAAGGTTGTCATTTTGTTTGAATGCATGCTTTGTAAACCAATTGTAATGTGAGATTTTGCTTATGGTAGTAAGGTTCTTCAAGGATTCAGAGAATCAGGTGCATGCATGCGGGTTGATCTTAAAAGTATGGTTATTTAAAGCAAGGCAAATGATGGGTAAGTGCTTGAAACCTTAAAATCATGGATGGAAAGGAAAGTAAGATAGATATTGATTACTTCTACTTTTGATAGCAATGGTGATAGAAGATGTGAGGAGTTGTGATTTATGTGAGGGATTCAAGTGAAAGAAATTTGGAAGGTAAACATGCAGTGTGGGTACTTTATGCCATATAGGACTTGCTTGGTTAAAGTTCATAGACTGCATGTTAGATTAAGGTGAATAATAAGCATAAAAGATGTGAAATTTGACTAAGATTTGTTAATTAAGATGCTGTCCCTACATGGGTGTGATTAAGTATAAATACGAAAATAGACGCAATGAAGAAATAGATTATTATGAGGGATTTTGGGACATAAAGAAAACTAATAATATGGTATATAGAATAGGGAATATGATTGGATTTGTGGTGACATTCACTAAATAAATTAAGTTTAACTTGCTGTTAGGAAGTGTATAAGTAAGGAAAGTTTTCCATGGTAGCATACCAGAGGAGGTAATGGGCGACCGACGGGTAAGAATAGCTAGAGACGCACCTGAACCAATAGCAACGTAGTGTCTCGCTATTGTGAGGTGAATAGGAGGTGTCTATTTCAAAAAGGTTCCATAATATATAGAATGATGTTTTATATACTATTATTCGTGAAAGATTTATAAACTATTATTGTGGAAAGCATGAACTAGTAGAAATGCTATGCAATTGTCGATGCCATGACATTTGAAATTGTTTTGAATATATATATATATATATATATATATAAGTTATATATGTAAAGGGTTCTAAAAATCGAGAAACAAGCTCTTTAACATGATTTATGTCAAAATGTGCCTTATTGTTTGTGTGATGTGCATTCATGAATAGAATACATATTCACCATGCTGATTTGATATTTAAACCTCATGCAAAGATTTTATATTATAAAGTCTTACAGAAGGGTTTTATCATGTTACCATGAATGGTATTTTGGAAATGGATTTGAAATAAGCTTTTGAGAACCCAACTTCTTTTTTAAATGGTTTTATCAAACTAGGAGATTCAAGAATAGGTCGAATGTCACATCGGGATAGTGTGACCCTTGTGCACAAGTAAGCTCTAGTTAGAGAACTTTGGAGTCATCGACGAGCTGTTAGACGTGGTTAGGTCAAGGTTTGTGATATATATACAATGTAAGGCCACAGGATGATATACGTGGCTAGGCCACAAGTTGACATACATGGTTGCAGCCACATGATTTCTTCAATGTTGGTCAATATCATTGAGACTACCATGGCTGTAGGAGTTTGGTGGAGGGGGGCCTCTTGGATGTTATTACATGAAAGCGGGTCCATGAGTTGATCACTATGATTACCTACTCGAGAGTGATATCTCTTTGGGTTTTCAAACATGTATTTTTTTGCATGGTGAGAATTATAAGTTTTTTCGCAACCCCCTTAATTATACTACGACTTTATATTTAATTCCTCGAGGATGAGGTAATTTGCGAATTTATCTATAATCTTTGATAATGCTTGATTTCATGGGAGCATGTGTGTTTATGTTGGATTGATTTGAGTTAACCAATTAAATGATTTCAAGGGTAGAAATCTTTCACTTGCACTAATTTTGATACATTTATTTTTAAAGGATTATGTTGCATTAAAATTCTTGTTTTTTTTTTCATGTAAGGCACAAATCTCCCTTTTGAGTTGAATTGTTTATAAATACTCTTATGTTTTAAATTCAATCCTTTTGTCCCTAGTTTGTTTCCCATCTATGCCTTGCTCATGGAACCGATGATCATTGAGTCTGTGAGACTCACGCCCTTATCTTTTTTTCAATAGATAAGTGATCAGCTCAAGTGTATTGCCCAACATATCTTGACTTGCTGCATCATAGGTAATGGCATATTTTAGACTTCCACTTCGAGTCACTCCGTTGCATAGGTGTTATGTTGCGTAAACAGTTAGACTTATAAAAATTATTAGCTAATCAAAAATGTATTTTCTAAAACCATGTGGTTGTGTAATCAACACTAAGTGTGATGTTGAAATTATCTTGGATTTTGTTAGATTTGGTTATTAGTAGCTAGTTGCTATTTCTTAATACCATTGTTTATTCAGTTTACATAAAAGATAGTGTTATTAAAAGTTGGTAGAATTCTCAATGATGGTTACAAGTAGAACGTAATGATAAAATCCAAGTCGATTTATATATGAATTAGAATGTTCGATTAAAAATTCACAGAAATCTCAACTAAGGATTGTTCAGAATTTGGAGGGTTTTCTCGCAAGTCTCGAATGTCGGTAACAATTGGGAAGAAGGTTATTACAATGACAACCTCCAAAGTGATTTTGTTTATGGCCAAACCCTTTAGCAAATTGAAACATAATTGAGCCACATCCAATAGATTAAACCAATTTCTCTAGTTT